GCGGTGAACGTTACCGGGAGGGGGCACGGGTGATGCAGGATACCTCTGGCTCCGGCATTGTTCAGCATCCCGCCCAACTCACTGACATCACTGATTGCCAAGAGCTGCTCAGCTCCTGGCAACCAGTGCCATCAGTTAACTGGGTGGGACTCCAGACGCAGCGTCACAGGTTCCCAAGAGCTCTTAGCATCAAGCATTGCTCTCTATTGTGGTCTGTGTCAGTTTACCAAGGAGGTGATACGTGTCCCTGGTGGTCAGTAGTCTTCTTTGACGTGACTTAATGACCAAGGACACAGAGAACCACTGATCTAAAATATACTGAACTTACCCTCACTTTCCGAACAAGCCCAATACTTTCCTCTGCTCCATAGCTAAATACTCTATATCTCCTACTTTCATCATTTGGGAAGAATCCTGGCAGGTCCTGGTGCTCAGTTGACTGGTGCAAGGATAGGACAATTTCTCCAACCTTGCCATCCTTGGGGAGATATCTACCGGGCTACAGCCAATCTTTTTCTGCTGCTTCCTGAAATGTAACATCATTATAAACACACACAGAGTTGCTATCAAACAGGAGATGAATATGCGGATAAAGATAATCAGATTCCAAGTGGAAACAAGCCAAGCAACTTTTTGTTTTACAAATATTTGGTAGTATAGGCAGTTTAAAAGGGCAGAGGCAGATTGTCCTTATAATTTTCCCATATGTACCCAGTGTTTGTAAAGAGGAATTACCTCCACTAGATGTCCAGTCAGAAGTTTTTCTTTCTGAACGGCACTAGAAAAATATGTAGAAGTATAAACTGTTTTTTCAAGTATGGCTGGGGTCACCACAAAGCCTCTGATGAATGATCCAGGCAGATAAAAATACCCATTGACTCAAACACTGAGATGAAGCAGAGATGATTTTTCAAGTTTCATTTTCCTATAATACCCGCCATGCTGTGTGAATGAACCTTCTTGTATACTTCTGGTCACAAGTGTTGACTCTAGCAACTGGGTAGTAGGGAAGAACTGGGCTGGGGTGTAGGTGGCATTTGTCTCCCTTGCTAGTAACCGTAAGATATGTTTGCCTGGTGGCCCTAAGTGGAGATTCTTCACCTTTCAGATATTGATCAGTGGGGACCCACAGTCCATGATGCATTATACATCTTCAAAATCCCCATTTAAACCTGTGATTTACAATGCCTGGCAGAGGTAAGTCTTCCAGCACCAACTTCTTTTGCAGCTCTAAGATGTTATGCAACCGAATGTCTAGAGCCTAAAAGGAAGCGGATGTTGGGAGATATTTTCTATAAATCATGTAATTTTAATTACCCACAATTCACTATGCTCCCCAATCACTGTGGCATTATGGCACACTTTGTATGGTGCACTTTCTGTTGCTTGCATGAATGGACCGTTGGTTGTATTTTCCCCCGGTCTCGGAATCTAGTATTTTCCAAAAGAGATCAATAAATCTTCAATGGCAGCCCCATACTTCTCAAATGACAGTCACTTTCAAAAAAAATTATATACATTCAGTATAAGTACCGGAATTTGTCTTTTTATATTCCCTTTCAGTAATCTGCTGCTCAGACCCAGACTGGAGAAGGACAAGCATTGTTCAACAGTCAGGGCTCTTTTGCATGGCTCTGCGCTGTCAGTCGACCACTGTAAACATACCTACAGGAAAGCAGAGCAAAGGGATGACGTTCTGTATCTGCTTCAGCTCTTTAACCCAATCAAGAGCCTGGGGGGCGGGAAGAAGACCACAACACTGTGGTGTGAACTGTGCCCATCCGTGACAAGGCAAATTGCCTTGTCTTGTGTTGGGGCTGCGCTGGAAAAAACGGCCAGCGCAGCCCCAATGCATCTGGAAGGAATTGGATGTAACTGTAACACTGAGAATGTGTATTTTAATTGTGTATATGGCTGTCTGGTCTGAGTTAATAAATTTGTGCCTTTTCTGAGGTCCCCAGAAACAGGTACTGATATGTGCCCTTTAGGGGATGATTCACCTTCATGTCAAAACCTACTGCATTTCTGGAGCTATGGTGACAGTTGTGTTTGTATGGTACTATGACCCTTTCTTCTGCTCCATAGCAGATTAATGGTTTAGACTTACTTTATGGAAGATTTTTCCAATATGCAAGAATAAGCACCTTTGACCGCTAAAGGTGCAGGTTATCACCACCTAGGTGGTCATTAATTGCGAGCAATGCTTGCATTTGGCAACATTGCTTGTAGTTATCATAATTTTTATGACCTCCCAGTGTTCTACAATGAATTAAATGCAAATTAGTACATATCTGCAAACATTACAGAGCAAGGAAGTAAAGGTTTTCAAAACATACTTTAGAATTGTACTTCTGAAATAAGAATTGCTTTTTTGTCGTTTTATTACTTGGATGTATTATTATTTAATATAAAAATAGAGCAAATAAAAAAAAAGGAGCTGTCACCCTTTACCACCTATTAGGTTCATTGTCAAATCTGCACTACAAGTTAAAAGTTGGGATGTGATTTGCTAAGTCCCATGTCTCACTTCAGTCCTCATTTATGGCAATGCTCTCTTGTTGGCCAAACCATTGAGGCTAGGTTCACACCTAGGTGACACCTCACCGCGTGGCAATCCTGCACGATTCCGCACGGATTGCTGCGTGGTCAGGAGTGGCCATGGTGTGAACCGATCGCGCTGTGGGTGCCATTATTTTCTAATGGCACCCCTGTCGAACTGGGCGGATCGCACGGTTTCCCGTTGCGATTCCGCCCATGCTTCTGATCACGGGCGCTCGTCGTGTATGGCAAAACAAAAGGTAATTCTACCTTTTTTTTCTGCGATTGCTGCGCGGATGTCACCCCATTGAAATCAATGGGGCCCTGCATGGATCGCTGCCTGCATTGTACAGGGCCGCACGATCCCGGGACGTGCGTCCCGGGTGTCATGCAGTGTAGTGCAGGTGTGCACCTAGCCTGAGGTGTTGCTCCGTCATACAATCAACTTTAAATTCTGAGAGTAGATTCCATTGGAGAAAGGGGAATTTGCATTTTACTGGTTCTGCAGCAGCAGATCCGCTCATATGACATGGCCTCTAGAGGGAACTCCATACTTCCTACCACCCTGTCTAGGACAGCGGAAGGTTTCGGTAAAGGAAGATCACGAAGGACAGTACAGTTTTTATTATTTTATTACTTTGAGATTCTTGTCACGGTTGTAAATAACAGAATGAGAGGTGAATTTCCTTTCTTTGCAAACAACTGGAATGACTCCTATTCTAGCAATCTATAGTGTTTGGAAGAGAGAATCTGTAAAAAATAACTATTAAAAATGGTGAAAAAACTAGCCAACGTAAGAAGAGGATGAGATAACTTAAATAATGAAATAAGGAATAATCATTAAAACAAAAATATGTACCACACAATGTTGACTTTGCACTAAGCTCTTATTCTAGCTGAAGCAATAAGGCTGTTGTTGATTTTGAACACGACGTCATTAGATTTACATTAACCACAGCAGAGAACCAAATTCTTGTTACAAGCCTATAATATATTTTCATGACAGGTTTCCTTTAAAGGAAGTATATTAACGGAGCTCTTCCCTTTAGAGAGGCATTCCTGTCCCACTAAATGGGAAGCGTATGTAATGACCATATGTGGCTGTCCTATGTAGCAATATAATTAAAAGTAAGCTTTAAATATTATTTACCTTTTTTATGCTGAATAATTCACATATATATCTAAAAATGATATTAGATTAATTTTAATTGGTTTTCTCAATAGAAATGTGAACGTTGCTAGCACACAAAGGTGGAAGGTGAATGTAGACAATAGTTAGCAGCCTATACATTCATGGTAACAGAACTGGAAAACAATTATTATATTTTTGGTGTTTGGACTGATTTTGTTCCTGGTCTAGGAAAATCCAGCTCGGGTCCTCAAGGAGAGTCATTTGGGAGATCTGTTTTGTTGCAAAGGCATAACAGCCTATCACCCAAGGTGGAATCACCTGAGTGGAAGTGACCACTTCCCTTGTTGCGCATCGCTCAGTCGATGGCATGGAACACTGCAGAATCTGATTTTACTAGATAAGGAGCAGACATATAGGAGAAGATACGTTGTCGATTTGTGATCTTGTCAACAGCAACAGGCTTGCTGCTGCTACATGGCCCTACTTTTTTTGCCAGATGAGGAACATCTATTATTAACAACAAACTTTCCAATTATTACAAAACTTACACCCCATAATCAACTTTTGGAGCTTTAAAAAGTATAAATGTAAGACTGCTAGCCAATTTCACCCACATCAGGTCACATATGTTATGCATTTGGGTACAAGCAGATGACATCTGGTGACCATTTTTCGATAAGATGTTAATAATCCAGGTTGGATTTTCTTCGACTTTTTTGTTTCTCCTGAGAGAAGACGGTCAATGGGATGTCTTTTTTAAATGTAGTGCCTGGTGAATAAACATATATAAGCTTGGGTAGGGATGCACTAGATACTAGTATCGGTGCATCCCTACCTCCCTACTCGTACTTGCCCAAATGATCAGATACTTACCCCCTATAATGGAACTTCCTCTCAGAAGAAGATCTCCTCTGACCAGCAGTGCCGCGATTGAACATGGAGCCGGCTTCCCGGCCAATCAGGGAGCCTGGCGGCAGGTAATGACTCGCCGCCCGGCTTCCTGATTGGTTAGGAAACCGGCTCTATGTTGTTTGGGCAGCACGATGCTGATTGGCAGGGGAAGCTGGCTTCAAGCTAGCGGAAATACTGTTATCGGTACTCAGTATTGGCGAGTAGCGAAAGATAAATATCGGTACTCGATACCGAGAAACCGGTATCGGTGCGTCCCTAGGCTTGGGTGATACAAGCTTGTATATTCATACATAGGTTATTTGAAAGAAAAGGTTGTTCAATACTCAGTTTCTCTATTGAATGGAAAATAGTTTTACTGAAACCTGGTGCTGAAATCTGTACCAAACACTGCTTTGACATGTATGCATGTAATCCGCAGGCTCCCATCATCCCGCCACCATGTCCAGCAAAAAGACCAAGGCGAAGACTACCAAGAAGCGTCCCCAGAGGGCGACTTCCAATGTATTTGCTATGTTTGATCAGTCCCAAATCCAAGAATTCAAGGAAGCTTTTAATATGATCGACCAGAATCGGGATGGTTTTATTGACAAGGAGGATCTTCATGACATGCTGGCCTCCATGGGTATGTAAAGTTGTTTATTTAGACAACATTTGCTCAACATGTATGTTTTTACTAAGCAATCACATAAAATAAAGCTAGTTTGTTATGGTTTTGCTAGCTGTACAATAACTAAGTGGCAGCTGGGTACTCTATGAATTGTGACGCAACTCCTAAGAAAAATATTCTTTCATTGCACATAGACTGAAACAGGGTTGGATTCTACTTCTGTATCATTAAAGCCAAACTGAATTTTTAGTTTAATGCCATAGTTCACCCTTTGGAAAAAATATCTGCATGCACACATGAAAGAGAAACTGCATTTATTATTTTTTTGCATTGAAGTGTGCAAAGCATTGCAACTGCGATCAGTGGATCAGGGCTGCCATGCTCAAGTTCCTGCAGACTGTTCCTCTAGCCCCAGTTCTGTACAGAGGTATTGATCTTTGATTATGCGGCTGAAGGAAGTAACCAATGATCATGTGCAGTGGCAGGTGGAGCCCCACACAGCCACCCCACATAAAGTAAAAAATAGTACTTACCAGAACCCCATGATTCTGGTATGTGGGGGGCTGTTTGAGGGTGGGTGCTTGGGAATGTGCTATGTTTTATGTTGCACCCCAATTATAGGTGTGGCATGAAACATGCTATAAAATGTGTAGTATGCATTTAAATCAATCGCAGGTGACTCCAAACAAAAGGTGTTCAAAGCAAAATATGTTTAGAGAAAAATTATTATTTACCTTTTATAGATCTTTAGTTATCACTAGAGGGATCACCAACAGGGGAGAGGAGGTCCTGATTCCCCTATACGTTTGTACCTGGATGACATACATGTGTCATCAAACTGAATTTGCTTCATGTTTAAATGGTGTGCTGGTGACATTCTTGGACTTCCTGGTATAGGGTGACAACGTTCTGTCTCGCAACTTAGCGACTGGGTAGTCATTCTGTCACAATGGAGATTACAAGTGGTTGTTTCAACACACATTACACAGGTGTGGACCACACCATCAGGAAACATGGCCAGAAATGTCATGCACCCATCAATGGAGTATGTACATGGACAAAAAGTGGCTGCACAGGGGCTACAGGAAGTCAGCAATGTATCAAAAGATGAAAATAACTAATTAATTTTAAAAAAGACAAGTGCCTTTGATACACATCACTTTTAACAAACTAAATTATATTCCATGAGGGTTTACATTTATTTTAAAAATGTCTTTTTTCTTTTTTTTTTTATCTAGGTAAAAACCCCTCTGATGAATATTTGGAAGCGATGATGAGTGAAGCCCCAGGTCCTATCAATTTTACCATGTTCCTGACCATGTTTGGAGAAAAGCTTAATGGTACTGACCCAGAAGATGTCATCAGGAATGCATTTGCCTGCTTTGATGAAGAGGCCACAGGTACAAGGAATCTCGCCTAGTAATAGGGGTTAAAAAATGGGACGGCAATACAATCTGCAACTAATCGTTTTCTATGGGAACTGTTGGCAGCACGTAGCCTGACTCCATTCATTTTTGCAATAGAAAGCTAGTTAAAGGTGGCTGAATTTTCTTGTAAATTGACATTTAAATGGCCAGCATAGACATCAGTTATTTGCTACCACTTTCATTCCACTGGAAATTACAAATACAATTTTAAAAGTAAGGGCCATAAGCTAAGAAATCTGCCACCCACAAGTCCAAGGCTCTGTTCACACGTTAGCGGTTTTCCACGAGTTTTCGAATTGTGCAACGCACAAAAACAAATACATTCCAATGTAGCTTGTTCATACCTGTGCGGCATGAAAATGCACATTGTGCAAAAAGTACAGGTGCGATCTTCTGGGCTATAGTAGTAGCCCGCAAACCAGCAGAAGCCAGGTATAGGTTAAAATATGCGCCTTTTCGTGCCGCACATTCATTGGAAAACTGCGCTAAATTTCAAACTGCTTTGTTTAAACGGAGCTTTGTGCACCACCAGAATTCAGTCAACTGTGAAGTCAAAACTGTCCATGAAATGTGCAAGTTTTAATTTGTTTTTTTTATTTTGATCAGACGTTCCATATATTCACAGGCTGCAATTTGAAAATTTGAAGAACTCCGGGCACAAATGTTATTAACCCTTGCAGTGGGGCTACCCCCTTACTGCAAGATTTGACTGTTCGTTTTTTTGCCTACAGTTAAAAAAAAAAAAAGTTATACTCACCCGATCCTCCGAGGCATCCGTCTCTTAGACCGGTCCCTTGAGTGCATCGCCCCCCTCCTCTAGGAATCCTCTAGTTATCATGTCAAATGCCGTGCATGAGACATGAGGACGCCAAGGGACATTGCGTCACTTCAGCAGAGGAGGAGACAGGCAGGAGGGAGCGCTGCAGGCTCCGAGGTTCAGGGAAGTATAACTTTTTTCCTCCCCTCCCTTCCCTCCCTTGTAGAATGCACAATCTGTATGATTTGGTAGTTGCCTAACAAAAAAAGAAGCGATTGGAACACTAAACAATGATTCATAAAAGACGTCCTTAATTGGCACCCTGCAGATAAAATCAACTTGCAAGTGGTCCTGCTCATGGCATCTGTGATCAGGGCTCAGATGGTTTCAAACATGTTCACCTTTTTCTTTTGGCAATTGCCAGAGAGTCATTCATGGATTGTAGCCCAATGTGCTTATTGCGGCTTTTTCTAGTTTACTGCAACCATATTTATGCCAAAGGAGCAACTTGACAGTCGGTCAACTACTATTTGCAGGGAGGGGATAGCAATGGCAACCTTCATATTATCTTAGTACTGATTTCCTTCCAAGCATGCAAGCCACTGCTAAACCCAAAAACAAATCTGTAATATATTGAAGCTTGCTGACCCTTAAATAAGGTGGCTGCATTTGTTTTCTTATATTCCTATATGTATTTTAAAAGCTTATTGCTTGCAGAGCTCATCAGCTCAAGCTAAAATTAGGGATGCATCGATACTGATGCTAGCACTCTTACTCGCCCAAATGCTCCAATACTTTCGATAGATGAACTTTCAGTCAGAGGGAGATCTCGGGTTGCCCTGCTGCAAGGGTAAGTCTATTTGCCAGAGTTTTTCTTTAACAGACCAAAAATTTACTATAAGAAAAGTTCTTTGTTAGGGTTTATATACCTTTTTTTAAGCAAGGATGCACCGATACCAAGTATTTGGGCCAGTACTCGTTCTGGCCCAAATTCTCTACTTCCGATACCGGAAATTCCCTCTGACAGGCAGTGCTGAGGAAGTATGGAGCCGGCTTCATTTCCAATTATGAAGCTGGGCGGTGGGTTATGACCCGTCTCCTGTCTTCCTGATTGGCTAGGAAGCCGGCTTCACTTGTTGCTAGGCAGCCTGGCTTCCTAACTAATCAGGAAGACAGACAGCACCTCATAACTTGCCGCCCGGCTTCCTGATTGGTCAGGAAGCCAGGCAGCCTCAGCAAGTGAAGCCGGAGTTCTTTTGCTAGAACACCAGCTTCACAGGCAATCAGGAAGCCGGGCGACAGGTCATGATCCGCCACCCGACCTTCTGATAATCGGGACACACGGCACCGGTACTCTGTATCGGCGAGTATTGAAAAAAAATATCAGTACTCTACACTGAAAAACCGGTATCAGTGCATCCCTAGTGTAAATGACTTATGCAGTCACTCATCCCTTATTGGCCAGCTTAGTCTCAACTGTCAGTCAGGTAAACCAAGAAATAAAGCAGGCTTCTGCACTGTCTCTTTAGCTAACCCATAAATGGAATCATTTATCAAGTATTCAATTCTTATTTGAAAAGCAAAGACTGCGTATATTTGGTATAAAAATACATCAAAACATTTGGAAAAGCTTTATACATTTTTGCCCAACTTCAGACTTTTTGTAAAAGTTTCTTTATTCCAGTAGTCTTTAGTCCGGCCATAAGACTTTGCAGGATCCTCGTCTTCCTGCAGTGGCAGACCTCAATGATGCGGAGAATGCCACTATTCTAGAGAGACCAGGGTGGTTTGCTGAACAACACTCAGTGATATGCATCCTGGAACAGGAGCAGCCAGGACTGCTGGAGCATGTGGAATGCAGTGTTAGAGCATGGGGAGGACAATTACTACTTTGGGACCTTTTCTTGCTCATACTGAACGGTCATAGTATTGTCCACCTAGTTTTCCTCTCATTTGACCGTCTGCTAACAATAAAGCACACTCTGCCTCTGAATCCTTGTACAATGAGCCTCCACACTTGAGATGCTCAACCATGTCAACGCTTTTTCCTCTTCAGGTTTCATCCATGAAGACCATTTACGTGAGCTGCTTACCACGATGGGTGATCGCTTTACAGACGAGGAAGTAGATGAGATGTATAGAGAAGCACCGATTGACAAAAAAGGCAACTTTAACTATGTGGAGTTCACCCGCATTCTGAAACACGGAGCCAAAGACAAGGATGACTAAGAAGACCAAAGATTATTGTGAAGATGGAAGAGCCTAGGTTCTGCAGTCAGGGAAGTTTGTGTCCTGTTTACCTCAGCAGCACCCTTCCTTCCCTTTCTGCAGTCACCGGCAGCTTTCTGTGAGAGGCCCTGTAGAGAGAAGATCCACATTTGTGACCACATTTAATTCCACTCTAGATGAGATCATTTGGGCAGTCTACAGGAAAAAACCGAGTGATTAGAATTGAAAGTCCATGTTTGATTCTGAATGTGACGATTAATCAGAACTGCCACCTGTAATTACCTATTAAGGCCAGGCCTCTGTAGGTGTCCACAGCTGCTTCCCACAGAGGCTCTATCAGGAACTTGCTTGTAGAAAAATATGACTTTGACAAGACCACTGCCCAGTGATATTACATCAGCCACTCAAATATGAAGAAGTCTTAATAATATATAACATAATAAAGAAAATGATTTATTAACATGAGAACGTGTGTGTGTGTGTGTGTCTATACATGCCTATTCACAGGCGCATGTTTAGACTAGGGATGCACCGAAACCGAAACTAGTATCGGTGCCGATTATTTGGGCTCGTACTCGCCCAAATGCTCCAATGCCTAGCCTGATACTTACGGCATCAGGAAGCCGGGCAGCGAGTCATTATACGCTGCCCGGCTTCCTGATTGGCCGGGAAACGGGCTCCATGCTCCCTCGTCACTTGTGGTCAATCAGGAAGCCAGGTGCCGTGTAATGATGCGGCACCCGGCTTTCTGATTAGCCAGGAAGCTTGCTTCATGCTCCCTCATCACCTCATGACGAGGGAGCATGGAGCCGGCTTCCCGGCCAATCAGGAAGCTGGGCTCCACATCATTACACGGTGCCCGGCTTCCTGATTGGCCAGAAAGCCGGCTCTATGCTTTTTGTCACCTAGTGACAACAAGCATGGGGACGGCTTCCCTGCTAATCGGGAAGCCGGGTGGCGAGTCTATACACGGCGCCTGGCTTCCTTTATCGGATGTCTGGTATCGGTATTCGATATCGGAGAGTACCGGAAAAAAATATCGATACTCGTACTTGATACCGAAATACTGGTATCGGTGTATTCCTAGTTTAGACCTTTTATACAAGTCCAGCTTATAAGTTGGATATACGAGTTGGAGTGTGTTTTGTGGGTTATTTGCTGGACCTAGACCCTGCTGCCATTGCAGTTGCTTGCAGTACATGCAAAATACACATGAAATGTTTCCATGTGCTGACAATATTAATTTATAATGGATCCTCAGTAAAGTCCCAGACCCTGTATTCATCTGCACCCATATAGATCTACCATCATGCATACTTTATACTTTTTATGCAACTACCAAACCAAAGTGAAAATACACTGCCTTCCAAAAATAAAGCCACACACTCTTATATTGCTTTTAACTTTGATTACGGCACGCATTCGCCATGGCATCGTTTTAAAAGGCTTGTGCAATGTCATAACATTTATTTCCGTCCAGAGTTGCATTCATTTTTCACTAATATCTTGTAGTGATGATGGGTGAAAAAATCCATTGATGGAAAAAAATGGTCATTTAGTCAATTCAGGTATGCAGCTGAACTCATTTTCTGGGGACATAACATATGAAACATATTAATCAGTGCAGTAAATATCCAGTGGAAGGCTCTTTCTTATTGCTTAGCTAAATCCAGGTGGTGACTTTTTTTTTGGGCCAGGCAGTGTAATTAGAGCAGCCATACACATACAGTAAGTTAGTGGTTGTATGTGCCGACATTACTGTCCTCCAGTATGCTTCTTAGCAAGGCTCTACTTTAACACTAAGCTCAGCTGAGCAGTCATGTTTATGCCTACTTATAATGATATGCATTGCTAACATCCCTCATTAATGATCATTTTCTAGAAACTATTTTCCATCCTATTGGAAGATCTGTTTACTCAATTTGACAGGTTTTTCAGTTGTCTTGCAATTGTTTGTGCATACATTTTATTTGCTGTGCAAGTCATCATTATTAGAGATGCACCAATACTGGTTTTTCAGTAACGAGTACCAATATATTTTGTTGGTACTTACCGATACCGGAAGTCCCATTTAAGGAAGCCGGGCGGCGTGTAATGACTCTGCGCCCAACTTCCTTATTAACGGGTATCAGGAAGCTGGGCGATCATTATACGCCGCCTGGCTTCCTGATTGGCCCTGGAAGCCGGCTCGATGCTCCCTTGTCACCAGCCGGCTTTATGCACCCAGTCATCTTGTGTTGAGGGAGCATGGAGCCGACTTTCTGGCCAATCAGGAAGCCGGGGGGTGGTAATGACTCGCAGCCAGGCTTCCTGATTGGACAGCTTCCAGACTAATCAGGTAACCGGGCAGTGAATCATTAAACAACGCCCGGATTCCTAATTGGCTGGGAAGCCGGCTCCATGTTCCCGCATGGAGCCGTCTTCCCAGCAAATCAGGGAGTCGGGCGGCATGTAATGACTCGCCGCCCAGCTTCCTGATCATGGAAGTTCGGGTATCGGGATAAGCGTCGGGAGCGTTTGGGCTAGTACGAGCACTCTCCCAAATACTCAGTATCGGCACCGATACTAGTATCGGTGCATTCCTAATTATCATCATCAGACATTAGGACACATCTGTGGCCAACCTAAGGGGAACCTAAAGCCGCCATACATAGATACTGTTTCACAATACGGTGTATGATTATGGTAGAATAATCCTTAGGTGTATAGTATGAAAAGGAGTAAGGATGCTTCCCATAGTTACCCTCCCCTATAAAATCTCCTGGTAGGCAATGCATATATTAAAATCTTAGGAGGCACAGATGATCATCAAGCAGTTTGATTCTTGATGATATGGCTCTGAACAATTAGCCATACTCAAATGTATGGCTAATTTAAAGATAAAGTAAGATAATTGTCATCTGGTCCAACTGAAGCAACTGCCATATCTTTAGGCAGACTCTCAGGGCCAACCATTAAAGTGACCTGGTCGCTATGTTGAAGAAACTGAATGAGAGCCGGTCTGTATACTTGCCTTTCCAGTGGGTGGTTTGTTATATATTTGCACTCTTGAGGAGTGCCACTGCTATGGGACACTTCAAATGTAATGGGATAGCATGTCTCCTGCTGCATGTCATGGTTTCTCTTGCCAGCCGCTATGTCACTACAAGACACAGCGAGTACAAGTACAGCATACAGTGGAGGACACACTATCCACAAGTGTTGGATAGCAGTGGTGCCCGAAGCATCTGGGGAGAGCTAATGTTTAACACCCCGCTCCCAGAAAGAGAACTATACAACTTTGTTACAGGCTGTCCCTCCAATTCTTTAACTTAGCGACATGGTCACTTTAATGAGGGAGTGGTGACCATTGTCCTCAGGACTGATAGTAAGGCAAACTGCAAACTTTTGAGTTATCCCCAAAAACAGAAATAGATCGATAATCTTCCAATGAGGAATTTGTTTTTCGGAGAATTTCCTCTTACTTCTGTTGCATCTATAAGACATCAGCTGGAAGAGAATCTTCCTATTTGGACACAAATGGGGAAAAAGTTGCTATAGGTATACTTTATAATTAAAGTCAGATTGTTCATGCAAAGTTTTGAGTTGTCACCAAACTGTTATAGAGGAATAATCTTCTAATGGGGAATTTTTTTTCCGGTGGATTTCCTCTCACTTTCTGTTGCTTTTATAAGACAGCAGCAGGAAGGGAATCTTCTTATTGGGACACAAATGCAATAGATATACTTTGTCGGACATGTTCAAGCAAAATATTGAGTTGTCCCGAAACTGGTGTAGAGGGGTAATCCTCCGATGGGAATTTTTTTTTCAAGTTTCCCTCTCTTCTCACTTCCTGTTGCATGTGCAAGACAGCAACTGGATGAAAATCTTCCTACTGGGACACAAATGGAAAAAAAATGGTTTTAGATATACCTTATAATTCAAGCCAGACTTGTTCATGCTAAATTTTGAGATGCCACCAAAACTGTAATAAAATGGTAATGGGGATTTTTTTTTTTTCCGGTGACAACAAAGTGGGCATTTCCCTCACTTTGGAGAGATTTGTCCCTACTTCCTGTTGAATCTATAATACAGCAATTGGAGGGAAATGTTCCTATTGGGACACATATGGCAAAATATTGGCTTTAGATATAGTTAGTCAGACTTGTTCCTGCATATCTCCTTTTAGTGGTCAGATTATGCCCTCTGCCAATGGCCTTCTGAATTCTGTCTACTGTATCTTTTGTTTCCTATCTACCAACACTCTAGTCTAAAGTTGGGTACACATAGAGCGAATTTCGGACGAAATGTGCTCCATTGATAACCCTATTCCCTTGACAGAAGTTGATTATTAGATCGACTTTTGCCAAAGGAACATGTTTTAAATTCCTCGGCCTAAGGTTTCTTGCAGCCAATCTGTTTAAAGCTGGACATCTGTCAATTTCTTGCGTTCAACCTGCGGACTGAACAAAAGAAATTGACGCGATTCCTTCATCGACACAAACAGCTTGTCAATCGTGGAGTCGCCGCTTTATACCTTGTATTTTGACAGGTGCCAATACCCGATCAGAGCGGTCAGCTCATTGGCTGCCGGCTCAAATCGCACGAAGATTTTCCAGCCGGCTCCTTCGATTAGCTGATCGAGGAATGCCGGCTGAAAGGGAGCCGACAGCCCCGCACTGTGCTGGTACATTAAAGACCAGCTGAAATTCGGTCATTGTATGGACAGCTTTAGTATTCTGACAGCAGCCAGTGCCACTGTCAGAATACAAAGCTCAGGAGATCAGGAATATAATTCATCCTTGCTGTTCAGTGCGAATGGAGGAAACGGTTATATTTTTTTCTTTCAGCCCGCAAGTTGAACGAAAAGGATATAACCGTGTATACTCTACTTAAGAGCATGTTACCAACCAATCATAAAGGTCAATAATTAAAAGACCTAGTGTTATGAAAAATGTGTTCAGCCATAAAACTGTCACTGTATTTGGAATTCCCTTGGCAATGCTTCAGAGACAGATGTCTTGTAAGATGAAGGGTTCTTGTTGCAATTTTGTAAAACAATTAAGCTTTGACTAAAGATAGGTGTATCCTTTTTAGGAACAATGATGAATAAGAATCATGTTTTTACAGTTTAAACTCCAACACTAAGTCAAAGGGCTTGATATGTGCTAGAAGGCAGCGCTGGCTGCTGAAAAGGGTTCACTATTGAGGTGGTAATTCAATCAAGAAGTAATTCCAAA